GTCAAGAATATAGGCTTCCAAAAAAGTGGTGGCTTAAGCCACACCCTCATGACATAATAGAATTGTAGAGTGATGTATGCAAGCCATTAAAAAGACATTAATAATGTTGGTATTCTGAATGCATGCAAACAAAAATGCACAAATGCAGCATTCTCAAATAAGAGCATGGGATTGGAATATGAACATTGGTGGCCTGAGAAATGGCAAAGAGCCATAGACTCAAGAGAGAAGGCTTGGTGAATAAAAGCAATGCATGACAGCACATCAAGATGGAAAGAGCTCACAAACAAAGGAAACAGTTGAATTAGGGCAAGTGCATATAGTTTAGATCAATAAGGAACCGATGACATGAAACATTGATGGGAATTGAAATGGTGTTTTAAGTAATATCAAACTAGACCAAAATATTATTGAACCAAACCCAAAAAATATTGAATGGAAATGTATAAAGCGTGTCCCAAGTGTATCATGCACATGAAGCTTCCATATTCGCCCTATAAACAACTAATTTTAGTAATAAATATCTCCGACATAATTTTAAATGTGTTGAACATATGTCAAGTCATGTTGAAACTATGTTCACATGAAAATGAACATTTTGAAGTTCTCGTGTTAATGGTCGAGTCATGAATGCACCCTTTAGACAAATGTAAGCTTTTTACAAGGTGGTGGACAAACTCGTAGGCATGGATGGGGATATAGAATGGTGTTAACAAGGCTTCTAAGCGACAATCATGATGGTTTCATTTTGAATGTGAGCCATCTAGCTATGTGTATAAAGGTAGCATTCTTGAATAGTAGGGGGCCATAATATCCTCTCATATAATGTCCCCATCATCTAGTTTAACTTGTATCGTTGTTGGAATAAAACTTGATTAAACTTATAAAAAAATATAACAAAATTTTAAATGATTGAAAATTAAAATGTACTTTTAATTTTGAAGCTTAACAAGCTTGATAAAAGATAAATGTTTCAAATGAGCTACTCAATAAGCATAAAAGAAGCTTGGCTCGATAAAGGTTTAAACAAGCGGCTCATTTAAAGCTCGATTAATATAAACTTATAAAGCAAACCAAACTCGAGCTAAGCTCAAATCAAACATGAGCAAGTTTAGATTTAAATGAACCAAGTTTGAATATTATCATAAAAGCTCAAAACAATCTTTGGCCAAGATCGAATAGTCTATGGGTAAATAAACTCGAGATCAAACAACATCCAGCTCGACTCCTTAAATATTATATAATTTTTCCTTATTACCTAGCCCGATATAAATCATTAAGAGTTTTAGCTTTTATTTTGCTTATAATTTTCTTTGCTAGGCTTTTAGCTTAATCTAATCATTATGAGCCTCCAAGTATGTCTTCTTTGTCACTCTTAAAAAAATTTTCTCTTCTTAAATAAACTTTGTGTCACCTCGCTTGAGAATTAAATAATATTACATATGTATTATCTATTTTTAGTCTCTGCTAAAACTTATACAAAGATCTTCTTAATAGAATTAAGATCTTATCCCAATCAAGTTAGACTCGACTCATTTATAGGATCTTCTATTTCATCTTTTCAATTAGAAATGAGCAAAACGACCCTATTTTATGATGGAGATAAGAGCCTAGAATTAAGTTTTTCATAACTTCTCCCTTTTCAACACGTGCATTATTATTCAAGCAAAGTAAATAAAGGTGGTCGTTGTTGTTGTTGTTGCTGTATTTATATTGATGAGCTGAGATTACTATATTATATACTTTTAAGGAGAAGCTCATTTTGAATTAAATTGCACATTGAAAAACTAATCATTTAGTTTTAGAATGAGAAGTAAGCCCGTCAAACCCATTTAGACATCACTCTCAAACTCAAAATACATCAACTAAAATAGCATAATTCTAAATCACACTACATTTTTGAAAGACAAGTCAATGAACCAACTGCACGGAAGGACGAAATGAATTGCATGCTAAAATGCACTGCATTATGAATTACAAATAACCAAACTTCTCCTTAGAGTTAGTTTGAACTTAAGACTGATCCATCACTTGATCAAACCATTCAGGGTTAAAACGTTATCCAACAAGGTCAGAATGAACACTCTTTTTCAAAATATAGAACATGAATATGCATACTAAACACCCACTATCTTGTACTAAACTCTTGACCATTCCGACAAAAAGCATAAAACTACTTAAGATTTCATTTGGGACAACTTTATTACTATTTTAAGAAGTAATTTCTAGTAAAAAATATTTAGTTTATGAAATTTTTTACTAAAATACTGCTTTCAGAAATAGTAAAACGAAGTTAAAACCAAAAACTTAAATTTTATATTAATTTACTTATTTCATTTGATGGTCAAATGTAGTAAATAAATATAAATTATAAATACTAAAGACATCTTTAAAATCACTCTAAAATGATTATTATATTTTCAAGCAACCTTAAATATGAACATAAAAAATTTATAAAATTCCAACGTACCAAACAAACTTTATATCAATTAGGGATCCCAAATTGCTAATAATAATAAAAAAAAAGATTTCATGATATGCTTACAGCAGTTGCTTCAAGAGGTTCAAAAACAGCACCGACAAAATCTCTTATAGCATCCTCAAGTTCTCTAACAAGCACATCGAGAAGCTAAGATTAAGTCCTACATTTTCAAAATCTTTGTTCCAATTAGATCTGAAGCTCCCAACCCTGAATTTTATCCAAGTTGGGTAGTTTTTTTTTTTTTACAAATTCACACACATAATATATAGAAGTTACGAACCAAAAGACCAATTTGAGCAAACTTTCGTTCTTAACATAAGATGTTATTTTCTTTATAGCAAAAGATGGGTACAATGCAAGTCAATCATGAGTTGGAGTCAAATTTGATCTTATAACCCATTTTAACACTTATATAATAAATCCTAAGAATTTCTCATAGAAAACTTTAGAGGAACACTTGAATGGATTCATCATAAGACCACTATTTTATACATATTTGAAGATGAATTGGAACTCTTGGATATGGTTTTTATGAGATGTGCAATTAATTATAAAAATGTGAGTTAGAAATTATTAGTTGGTGGCTCCAATATTCAAGCTTGAAGGGCATTTATCATAATAGCAAATGATTTTGGGGGTGAGAAAGTTGTATTCTTCTCATCCTTTTATCATTTTGATTAACTTATTCAATCATGATTTCATTATTATTGACAAAATTTTATTTTATTTCTTTCTTAATGAATTTAGTGTTAAGAAATTATATTTTTTTGGGCAGAGAGTAATTCTAATGGAAATAGCTTGGCAAGTTTCGCATGAATTGATTGAGCTATATGAAAAAACTTCATGATACTTTAAGGCAAATTATTATAATAAAAATTATATGCAAATTTAAAATTAAGTATTTTAGATAACAATTAATTTGTTTAACTTAAAATATTATTTAATTTTTTATTTATAACATAATATATTTATTTATTTAACTATTTAAATAATGCAGCACAAATGGTTCAAAGAAATCAGAATCAATTCAGAATTCACAAGTTGTAACCATTCTAGCTCGTTCAATCCAATTTGATGTAAAAGCAATTTTTAGAATAGACCAAACCAACTTGTAAAACCTAGACTAACACAAAAATAACTAATAATATCATAAAAATAATTATTTAGTGTATTTTTGACAAATATCTTCTACATCATTTACTTAGAAAGGATTTTTATTTTTTACATTTTCAATAAAAGCACAAAATATTTAACATTTAAACTCTTCTAAAATAATCTCCTAATATAATTTGACATTGAAATCTTTATAATGCTCGTTTTAAAAACTTATCCTACACAATAAAAAAAATAATATAAAAAATAAATAAAATACCAATACAATTTTCTATTTCCCTAAAAAATTAAATATTAATAACACAGAAAATTAGAAAAAACAGCTAAAAATAAAAATGTAAAAGGAATCGATGACAATTAAGAAATAATATAAGAAACAAATATCAATACAAAAGTTAAATTTTCATATCCAATGGCACATAAGAATCATTTCTCATACTCTCAGGGAAAATAATTTTTGATTTTCTACAGAAAAAAAATAATAATTATCATTTTTTTGAAGTATATATTCATGATTCCCTTTGCCAAATTCTTCTCAATTATTTAATATAATTCTTTAATTCAAATTTCCCTCATTATTCCAATTCCCAGCAAACAAAATCTTAAAAAAGAAGCAGATAATTAACTTAAATTAATAGAAGAAGCATAATGAACCCAAAATTTAAAAGTAAATTAATCAAATAATTTCTCGCAAATAATTTAATGAATTATGAATACACTTAAGAAAATTTAAAAATAAGTAAATTTATCAAATAAATTAGTCGTACCTCCTATAAAAAAATAAAAGGTATTAACTAAAATTTTGAAGTTTCTAAAAGAAAATCAGATTCTATCAAAATCTTTAACAGATTAGAGCCTTTTAAATTTTATCGTAACTAATTTACAATTATCAAACGCTCCTTTTTAAAAAATCCCGACAAATAAAATCAACAAAAACTGCTCCTAAGGCCAAACAAGTATTGAAATTAAAGAAAAAAAAAAACTGATTTGCATAATTCCTGCAAAATTCTTATCTATTTATATCTATGCTCTAAATATTTTGTTCACTCATTTATAACCAAATCTCTAAATTTAATTAAAAAAATCACTAATTAAAAATAAATAAATATAAAAAAATAAAATTTAGGTTTATATCTACAAAACTCCGAATATAAATCCTGCCTTAAATGTTATGTATGTCTTTCCCCATTTAAAAATAATTCCTAAACATGTCGAGATCTCAACAAAATTGCCTTTAGGCTACTTAATTAAGAACACAGAAATTAAGCTATGAACATCCTTCATTCAACAATTTCATCAACAAAACCAAAAGATTAAACTTAGTTAACATGTCCATAAATTCAAACTCATAAGCGTTTCAATAATAAAATTAAATACTTGAGAAAGAATTCATTGAATAACTAAGGTGGATCAGAATCTCTGGCTTGATTTTCCCGAAAGGGAAAATATAAGAAATTTGCATTATAATCTTAGTCGATCATGTGGGTAAAGGATCATCATATCCACGCTCGAAAATTTGAATTTTTAAAGACATTAAAATGAATTTATAGAAGTCAAGAACAAAAATACAACCTATTGAATTTCTGCAGTATGTTAAAGATAAAGGATTTGTTTGTGAAATATATTTGGTCAGAAATAATGGAAGATTCTGGTTGCATTAGCGACAACATATAAGCATCTAACACAATTTCATTAAAAAAATATTTTGGGCATATCAAAGGAAGTAGCACAAAGTGGAAGGCCAAGAATCATATGGTACTTGCTGGGAGCGATATGGGTTCGAAGAGGAACCCTAACTTTCCTTTGCAAATTGCAAGCATATTAACGGCTGTAAATCCTCAATCCAGGGACATATCTAAGGGAATCTAAACACCCTCAATCCGGCACGTGCTCCAAACAAATGGTATTTTGAGCGCAATTCATTTTTTTTTTTTTTAAGAAAAATTAGGGGCAATTAGGCATAATTTTCATTAAATGATGAAAAGATTACAACAAATATAAGAAAAATAATAAAAACTTACAATTGTTGATTAGAAAAATAAAATATAATCTACAAACTTGAAAGCAAAAAAGCATCCCTAATCAAGAACTAGAGATACAACAAATCTTCTAAGAAGACAAGATCAAACTAGGATCCATAGGCTAAACAAACATCCCACTTGAACATCTAACCAGATTTTAAAGAGATTGCACTAATAATCGTAAGCCTGTAAGAAACAATACAAAACCAACAATAAATTATACTGTACGGAGTCCGGACGGGAAGAACCGTCCAGACTGTTAGTGCACACACTATATAAGTTGCAATTTGCAAAAGAAAGTTAGGGTTCTAGATTGATGAAAGTTAGGGTTCCTCTTCGACATTGTTCTAGATTGATGTCCGGACGGCCATAAATCCTCAATCTTGAGAAATTATTCTATGTACAAGTTGCAATATGCAAATTGCAAGCACATTGACGGCCGTAAATCCTCACAGTCCATACAATTCTTCTCATCCGAACTCTACATAAAATAATTTCTCAAGACCAACACCCATCTAAGTCTGCATCAATCGACAAACCACACATAAAAAAGGATTAACTACAACTTGCCTAAAAATAATAGTAGCAAACAATGAACCAAAATTTTAAAGAAACTTAACTAGCCAAAGAAAAAAAGAGCAACAAAACCAACACTCAATACAACCTGAGGTAAAACGGAAAGCCACAGCCAAAATAACACACATATATGCATGAATATTATAGATAATAATTGCGATCAAATGCTACAAATAAATAGCATGTTTGAGGATCTCAAATCAAAAGCTTGAGGGTTTTAAATTACCATTTCAAATAAACCAATGTAAGTTGTATTATGTATCAAATCTATGGATATGACTTATGAAGGGTACATGTTTTTGTTTCATGAAAGGACTACAAATGCATTTCTTTTTTAAGATTTTAGATCTTAGCTTGATCTCTTCATATGTGGTTAGTTGAGAGCGGATTAAGAGATGAGGATCTAAGTAAACCCTTTGAAATCAATCCGTTAGTACAATAATTTAATGAATTCTGAATACATCAAACCATTCAGCATTTACTTATTAGAGAAAATGACAAGAGATAAAGACAAAAAGAACAGTCCAACAAATAATTAAAAAGCTATCTCAGAAGAAAGCTCATTCATACTATTAAGCAGACAATTAAGAAAGAATAGCTTCAAATAATAATTAATAGCTCATGAATACAGTGTTCATGAGATAACAAATAAAAGGGATTGCCAAAATTTTTGACAATTTTAAAAGAAAATCAGATTCTATCAGAGCCTTTTTTAAATTTTATCGTACTAATTTACTATTATCATTCGTTCCTTTTAAAAAAATCTCAAAATAAAATAAACAAAAACTGCTCCTAGGGTCAAACAACAAACCTCTCATCTATATTAGTCAAATTTTTATCCAAATTTTTGCTCATTAAAGCACAAACGAAAACATAAAAGCAGAAAACTTTTGGTTATGGTTTAGTTTCCAAGATTTCATCATCAAAGCTTCATACATTACAAGGATTGAAGTATTTGCTCTGAAATTCTAGAGATAGCTATCAATAAGCTCATCAATAGAAGCGTACTTAACCTCAGGGTAGAACTTCCAAGCCTCCACTCCAAATGACATATCAATATCTATTATTGACTGTCCCTTCACAAAGCCAGCATGAGCAATCATGTAACTACCTCTCATATCAAGAGGCCAATCTGCAGCAGCAGCTCACCAAAGGAACAATGATTCAGAACATAAAAGATGAAAGAATCTATCCAAAAATTGTTGATGAGTTACAGTTCCATTTTTAGTCTTGCAGACAACGAACAAGAATTTTAATGGCTAAAGAGAAGCAAATACAAAGATTTTTAATCAATGAGAGTAAAAGCATATAACATTCAGCAATGGTCACTCACGATAGCAGGCAAGTGGAACAGCTACCCATAAACAAGAACAAACTTCCAATAACAGAGAATGTGTTATAATTATACTGTAAAATCACCAAGTGAATACTTATTTGAATGAAAGTAGAATAATAAAAAAAAGTCAGGTTCCTAGACGAGTGAGAACAGAAAGATTTAGAGCTTAAGTATGCATTTGAAGAATTAAGAGATTTGAGAAAGGACAGCTGGAAGTTGATTTCCCCAATTTGAGAATCCATTTATAACATAGATCAATTTTTGGGGAGGACAGATGATGGAAAACAAATACTTAATGGCCATAGTTCATGAGTTTTAAACTCAAAATTGATGATCTATGCTTGAGGCCTGACAAGAAAAAAAAATAGTGAGTAGCAATTTAAATTAGGTATCTGCTCCTGCTGTAAACCTAGTGTAATCGAAAAGTTCTACTACGCCGTTTTTTCTAAACTGGAAAACAAAAGGGACGGCAGGATCTGTTGATTCTGTACGCAGTTTTTCAATTGGATGACCATGATTGCAGAGCATCATTATAATTTTAAACAATCTTCTCTTTAGATGGATAAAAATTGTCCCATCTGCTAGAAAAATCTTATTAACAGTTTACTTGAATTGTAAAAGCACATTAATCCATTGTATTATCCATTCACTTGTGAAAACTGGAAAATTTTCTTTTGTGCAAAACTTAAGACCTCAAATCACTTCCATATATCATATTAGCAGCAATAAAGACCTGCAAAAACCATGCTCGAGGAATCAGGCCTCCATAGGATATATAGCCCCTCAGCTCGGAGTAGTCCATCCAATAAACTTCATCTCTGGAGTGGTTGTTATATATTAGAATATTTGTTAACTGATTTTATTAATCAAATCAAATATTTTTGTAGTTTTGATGAATTATTGAATTTTTAAGATTTATTAGAATTATTTAAGAGCATTAATTAAGAGTCCAAAAATTGACTTTTTAAATTAAAGTAAAGTTTGAAAGTTTCAAGTTTTTTTACAAATATTAGGACTTATAATGAGTATTTAGACTATTAGCACGCTCAACTTGGAGGTTTCTACGAAAAGTTATGAATTTCTGAAGTTTTAAGTTGATTTTGGCTTATGTTTGACCGGATTGTTGACTTTTTGACTTTGACCAAATTTTGAAGGTTTGAATTTTTATAAAATATTAGATTTTAATTCAAGTTGAGCACTTTTGAGTTTGATCAATTTGGAATTTTTTAGAATTAATTATGATTTTAGAAAATTTGAATATTTATTGAATTATTTATTTATTTTAATTAAAGGTCCCTTTAATGGTTTGAACCCAAATAATCTCCAAACTTCTTGAAATCACCTCTAAAGATCAGGAATGATCTGAGGAGGATCAGAAAGTATATTTGAGAATTTTTTTTGGGATTTTTTACTATTTTTAATCATTAATTAATTAATTAAATAATGAGTTTTAAATAAAATTCATTTATTCTTGAAATTGTAGTCAAATTAATGTGAATTTAATTTTCTCTGATTAAGGAGTTAATTGTTGTTAGTTACAGGTGTTTCATGTAATTTTTTGGATTTTATTTTGATTTATTAGATTTTTTTTATTTTATAAGGATAATTAAGGGTTTAAACCTAAGTAAATTAATTAAAGGTGACTAATGACTTCAAAAATCAATGGGTTAATTTCTATGAAAAGGTGATGTCACTATGTTTATTTGTTAAAAGTTTCAAGTCAAGGCAATGTGTATCCTTTTTATTGAAATTTTTCTAAGTTTTCTAAACAAGTCCTTAATTATTATCATTAATGATGTCAGTAAGTTATATGGCATTAAAACAATGTTACTAACCCTTAGACTTCAACATGTATAGATATACAAACATAACTCAATCAAGTCCTTAAATCTACAATAACCTAGGCTAAGTGGTGTGTGTATCCTACACATGCAAGAAGTAAAATTGAATTAAATGACAAGTAAATTGGTTAATGAATAATTAGGTTAATTATCCATTATCCCTTCCCATCAAATCTATCCAAATAGTTTAATATATGTCGTATATTAATTTAATATAATTTTAATTTTAAAATAAATAAATAAATTTTCTAGATATCTTAATATATTTTATAAATTTTAATTTATTTAAAATTGATTTTTTTAATAATTTTTAAACTAATTAGGATTTAAAAAAGATTTTAAATTAATTTAAATTCATTTTTAAATTGAAGGGCGGCAGGCGGGTCACATGGCAAGCTTTGGTTTGCCAGCCAACACGCGAGCCGCGGTGGCAGTGCGTCGCGTCCTCCACGCAGCATCCCTTAGGCAAACTACGCGTCGGGACATGGTTAGCTACTTAACCACATTAGCGGATAACCGTGGCCGTCAGATCCACATAGGTTATAATGGACCGCCACGATCATATCCCACGGTTTGATCTCAGCAAAACAAGATCAAACGATGGAGTAGTCAAGGTTTAAAATTGCGTAAATAAGCCTCGAGACATTTTTCGTCCATGAGGCGAGGTGTAAGCCTCGAGGCGGTGTGAGGCGTAAGCCTCACGGAAGCAAAATTGCATAAATAAAAATTTTA